ATATGGAGTATATGATGCATATATACATTATTGATTTGAAGTGTTGATCTAATTTAATTTGGACCTCCGGCTCTCAACTAACATACACTACCCCCATAGTTAGCATAGATATATGTATAGAGTTTTATTATATTATCAATTATATAATGTGACTTCCATGGATAGGAGTGAGCTCTTTGATGTGACAATCATTTATAGGACATTTTCATTGTGTGGGTTGAAAAAAATTTGTCGGAATTGTAAAAATAAGTAGTAAAAATTAAGAATATATGTAGTTGATGGATACCTAGCCCGAGGTATCCAGTCGGCCATCCAAGTCAGTTAAGATTGGAAGGCGATCAACTTGACCACCACAAACAACATCTAAGTAGGAATCCAAATCGACATTCCGGAAATATTGTAAGATCGTTGTCAATCTCCGGTTTAATTTCCATTTTCAATTTTAGGAAAAAAGTCATCTCGTGTTTTAAAAAAAAAGAAAAAAAAAAAAAAGAATCTCATGCTTAGAAAGGAAGTCAAACTTGATTTATTAAGAAAGTTGCCTAAGTTAAATTTGTAAACAATTTACTTTCATTTTCTTTCCGTGGATTAGCCGCGTGTGTATAAATACTGTGGGCCACATTGTAAGAGGTTCGAATTCTGCTTTCTAACAATAAGATCACTTTCGCCTTATTTAATTTCACATTATTTACAGGAAGTGTTGACATTCCGATAGACTATCTCGTAGTCGTAAAACCAACAATAATATTTTTCATATGCATATGGGGGCAGTACAGTAGTCCTTTAACCAAGTAATAACCAACCACTACCTGTCAATATGTCATCTTCCTAATAAACAGCCTTAGCTTAGCTTTTTTCTGCTGCTGAGACGTACTACTGCCGATTAAAGTCAATATTGTATAAGCGTTATCTTTAAAATCAATATTGTAAAATATATAATTTTTATTTCAAATAAGTATGAACGATGTAACACTACAAAAATCACAGTTCTTATGGTAAAATATATAATTTTTATTTCAAATAAGTATAAACGGTGTAAATATTATGACTCTACAAATTGAAGCCATATGCTGTTGTTTATCTTGCACGCCTTAAAATCCGGCCATGCGGGCAGGCGAGCAATCTCTCATGTGAATATGCACAATGCATGTTATCTGATCTTCTCTTCCTAATAACACGTACAGCCTTATTAGCTTAGCTCTTTTCTCAGACTGCCCCATTAAAGTCATTAGACCCACTGCGCTGTACCTCAGTATGTATATGATTGGTATTAGTTACAATTAAGTTCCCCTCCCCGCAAATGCATGCGTTAGTTCAATTCGTCGCTATATATGTATATATCTAAACCAAAATTCCCATTATATTGCTTCTTCACCACCTCCCAATTCCATTCATCTCATCCGATCAGAGGTGGCTTTTATTTTTGCACAAACGTGCATGCATGCAAGCTTAACTGCAATTATCTACAAATACTGTTCATTACCTTCCTTTTACACTATCTTGTACTCTTTCGGTCCCATTTTATCATTGTTATTTATTATTCATTAGTCAAACAAATCATTTTTTCTTTGTTTATTTTCTTTAGTATTTTTTACTTATTTTTAAATTTGATTTTTTGTGTGTTTAATAGTACTTTTAGTGTAGTTTTTAAATATATATAAATTTTGTATACTAATACTAAACTTAATATTATAAAAAATTGAATTAAAAATAACTTCAAGTCAAACCTAGTTAACCGAACCTGACACATAAAATGAGACGGATAAATTAATTAAATATCAAAATTATACTACAAAATATGTATATATATTTATTTACTAAGTATTTTATACAAATATAATAAATATTAATATTTTGTTCAATATTTTCACATGATAATCTATGACACACATCTCACAATACATAAAACATGTAGGGAGAAAAACTAACACTGCCAAATATCAACATGCACTTGGCAGATAAAAAGTTTATAGTACAACTCAGATCCTAGACATATACATAGTAAGGCAAATCTACAATTTTCTACACCATAATCTCATTGCATGACGTTGCCCTCTATGCACCACCAATAACCCAATTACACATGACATTACCAATAAAAAAAGAGGAGGACAAGTAAGGAAGATGAAGACAATGACAATGTTGTCCAAAAGAGAATTAAGAAGACTTAGCTTACACGCACGGGCTTAGCTCAATGATTTAGTGGGCAGTATTTGGGAGAAGAATTAAGAAAACTTAGAAAAATTTAAACCAATAGTAATATTTAATTAGGCTATCATTTTTAGACCAAGTATTTAAACTAGCGTTATTACAAAGTTATAAACATTTATATTAATGACAATTATAATCAATATTTCATTTATTATCTTGCATTTATATATTTTAAATTATTGATTTAAATAAACAAATTCAAGATTCAATTACATACTTGAATGAGCAAGTTTTATAGGTCTGTAGTTTGATTCAATTTTTATCTATATTTTTAAAATTGATGAGAATCTATTTTTGTGTTTAGATTTTTGAAAAAGGGAAAATGTGAGAAATAGAATTAGAGAATTGAGAAAAAGCAAATATAATATAGTTTGTCAACCATGAACCATAAGATATTAATTTGCCAATGGGAATGCTACTCGGTCATCCCATATGTTTTGCACTAAATTCATTTTGACAGAGCCTTGGGGCATCTCTCAAACGGAGTCTCAAACAATTGGAAGCTGCTCTCATGGACAAAGTCGAAGGAAGAATTTGTCAAGATCAATGTTGATGGATCAGTGGATCTCACGGCAAGCAATGCGTACTGCGGAGGCATTATCCGCAACTACAAGAGCGATTGGAAGCAAGGTTTCGTGTTCAACATGGGCAACTGCACCCCGTTTGAAGCAGAAGCTTGGGCATTACTAAAAGGCATCCAGCTTGCCATTCGAATGGGATACAGGAAGGCTATATTTGAAACTGACTCGGCCCTTGTGGTGGAATATATGAACAACTCCAGAAGGCCCTCAACGGTAGCACACAATATAGACTAGCAAGAAGGAATTACGAGCTTTTGAAGCTTGGGAACTGGCGGCTATCGCACGAGAACAAAATCAGACAGCCGATAGACTAGCTAAGCTTGCCCATAATTTCCCAAAAGGTATGCATATCTTAGAGAACCCTCCAGATATAATATTAGGCATATTAGAAGACGATATTGCTGGGATGCCTACATGGCGCCTCTTCTGTAATGCAAACTAATTTTTGCTGTAGCTATTGGGTTGCCCCCTCCTTAATAAATAAATAAAAATTCATTTTAAAATATTACTTTATTATTTGATGATAATTTATAATGAAATTCATAAATTTTAAATTTTAATTCTAAGTGCTTATCATAAATCATAATCATAATTTATAACTAGAATGAGATAAGCTTAAATGAATATCAATCGTTATGTTGTGAACACGTGCTTACCTCGTAAGGTGCACACGATTTCATATCCATAATTTTTATACTGTAGATTCATAAAATTTATACTTTAGATTCTAATTGTTAAACTCTGTTTTCACAAATCCGTGCAGTATCTATAATTTCTATATTATAGATTCATAATTTTTATATTGTAGATCCATAATTTTTTCGGTGAGCTAAAGTATAAGTTTTAGCTTATCGAAAGTCTAGAAATTATGGATCAGTATAGAAATTATTGATAATGCACTGATTTGTGGAAACATAGTTCAACATTGGAATCTAAAGTATAAATTTTAGCTCACCGAAAGTTTAAAATTTATGGATCTACAGTATAAAAATTATGAATCTACAATATATAAATTATGAATATGGAATCGTGGCCACCTTGCAAGACGGGCACGTGCTCACAACATAATTTGCAAATGAATACGGAGTATGATTTTAATTTAGAAATTTGGGAAAAGGGTCAAATACACCCTTGAACTATATATAAAAATGTATTAGGCCCTTCAACTTTTTAAAAGTTCAATTAGGCCATCCACCTTGTTATTTTGAGTCAAATACGCTCAATAACAGGTTATTCACCTGCAATAACCGGTCAAAAAAATTTCAGCGACATTTCCCATAGGAATTTCGACGAAAAAAATTCGACAACAACAATTTTTATTTTTATTTTTTAAAAAAGGACCTACCGAAGAAGATAACCGTTCGGTGGTCTTCTCCGGTGGAAAAGGTGACTGGACTGGTCGCCTTCTCCACTAAAGAGGCAGGACGAGGGTCGCCTTCTCCGGGAGAAGAAACTCCTATTGCAGTTCTGATAATTTTTTTTTAATTTTTTTTTTGCAGCAGTCAACAGTGATTTCCGACGGTCAACATCAATAATTTATTTATGACTTGTTGGTTACCGGTAATTAGACTTATTTGACTCAAAATAACAAGTTGAATAGTCTAATTGCATTTTTTTTAAAGTTGAAGGGCCTAATTACACTTTTATATATAGTTCAAGTGTCTATTTGACCCTTAATTCTAGAAATTTAAAAAATAGCCTTTATTTAGAGCTACTAGCGTACCAAAACCTGTGTAATTTATCGACGCATCCGATAACACAAGCAAATTATGCTGTGGAACCGTATCCACTTTGCAAGGTGGACACGATTCTAAAATTGTTCATAACTGTGAATATCGAGTTCAAAAATTATGAACATAGAGTTTCATAATTGTGAATATGAAATTAAAAAATTATGAATATAGAGTTCAATAATTGTGAATATGAAGTTCAAAAATTATAAATATAGAATTTTAAATTATGAACATAGAGTTCAGTAATTATAAATATAGAATTGTGTCAACATTGTAAGGTAGACAGTCTACATGACATAACAATTGGATAACACAAGAGCGGGCCGGGTTTGGTTAACTGGTTATAGGATAGCGTAGGGTGAAATCAAACGCAGGTGGTGCGCGTGAAACATGACAAGCGCGCAGGTGTCATTATCATTCATTATACATACATACATACATACATACCACCATACATATAGGGAGAGATAGGAAAGAAGAGAGGATTTGACCTGGTTTGATTTGGGGGAGAGAAGCCAAAGAAGGACCGGAAGAGAAAAAAAAAAAAAAAAAAAAGAAGGAATGAAGCAAAATTCAATCTGATCGAATGCAATTTTGACGTCCGCGAGAACCCACACTCCCTCTCTCCCTCTACAACTTTCTCTCTCTAAAAGGTACAGCTCAGAACCTCATGAACTCTTCCCTCTCTCCCTCCCTCCCTAACGAAGACTAAAGACTCTACTGAGCTTCTGGACTTACATTTAAACTTGTATGTAGGAATATGAACTTGTATATACAGACGCGGGTGACACAAAAGCTTTAATTAGATTCTGTGTGTTTGTATCTCTTTTACTAATGCTAAAGGAGAGGAGTAGTCAGAGTAGTATTATCTGTAATTGTGGTCAATCAGGTGAAGCTTTGGCCGCCTGGTATTGAAATCTGCTTTTGGTAAGTTTTCATTTATATAGGTAGATATATGTTTATGTATTTATATGTGTCTTTTGTTTCAGTTTTTGTGTGAATTTTGGTTATACCGAAGCTGTAAACCCTAGGGACTAGTGTTTAGTAGTGTTTTGGATCTAGGGGCTTTGTAGATTTACTATATTGGGTCGATCAGTTCGATTTTTGCTATTAAAATTACTTGCTATGGAGTTTTTTTTTTTTTTTAAAATTTTTTTTTAAATTTTTTTTTATTTAATTTCTAGTGTGTTAATTAATGAAACCTTCTTTCTTTTGGCAAATTTGTGTTTCTCTATGTGAATTTTGAGGGTTTTTATGCGTTTAATTTCTTGTGAAGTTTGATTTATGCTAATTGTTATGACTAGTGTTTATATTAGGGAGGGAAATTGATAAAAGAATGAAAAATTGTGCTGGGTTATGCTATGTAATTTTATATCATAAATAAGCAGGGTTTAGCATGGCTAGAATCAGAGAGTGGCATTTTTATTTGGTACTTCTCTATATTTTTCTATTTCCTACACGTATCACAAGGTGACTTTTTTTCCTGCTCAATGTAGAGGCTTTGAAATATTCAGCTTCATTTCCAAATGTAAATTACTTGCTAAATTGACTGATATTATGGTATCTCCATGTATTGGTGTGCGATCTGTTTTAGAGTATTTTATACGCTGAAGCCAGGTGTTGGTCTGTTGGTTGGATGCATGCCATTCTAAGATGATTTATTACTTAACTAATTGCTTGCAGTTTGTATTTACAGCTGGAGAATGGTACCCAGAGGGGCTTCTACACCACTTGGTGGTGCCCAGTCTGTTCCACCTTCACTATTCCGATCTAATTCTAGTCTGTTGGGTGGTCAGGGAGGTGCGATGCCTTCACAGGGTGGTTTCCCCTCTATGGTGTCACCACGGACACAATTTGGTAATATGAATATGCTTGGGAATGCTCCAAATGTTACATCTCTACTCCATCAGTCTTTTGGAAACGGAGGCCCTAATCCTGGACTTTCTGTTCCTGGGGGTACTCAGAGGGGTCTTATTGATAATGGCGCTGAATCTGATCCACTTTCCAGTGTTGGAAATGGAATGGGATATAATGCACCTTCTTCATCATTTGTTTCAGTTGCCACACCAACGAATCCTAATACAGCAGCTCAAGTTCAGGGGCAACAGTTTCCTAATACTTCTGGGAACCAAATGTTGACAGACCAACAACCCCAACAGCTTGATCCCATTAATTTCCAGCGCAATCAACAGCTGTCTCAATTTTCTACCCCCGACAATTCTCAAACACAGCAGCAACAGCAACAACAACAATTTCAATCGATGAGAAGTGGATTAGGAAGTGTTGCACCTGTTAAACTGGAGCCGCAGGTCATCAATGATCAAACGCCACAGCAGTTGCGAAATCTTGCCACAGTGAAACTGGAACCACAACAGCTACAGAATATGAGAAGCCTGGCAACTGTCAAAATGGAACCGCAACATTCTGACCCATCTTTGTTTATTCAGCAGCAGCAACAGCAGCAACAACAGCTTCTTCAAATGTCCAGGTCGTCCCCTCAAGCTGCTGCCATGGCCCAGCTATTGCATCAACAGAGGCTCATGCAGTTCCAACAGCAGCAGCAGCAGCAGCAGCTGTTGAAGGCTATGCCTCAACAAAGAAACCCACCACAGTATCACCCACAAAATCCAGCTCTACGATCTCCAGCAAAACCATTTTATGAGCCCGGGATGTGTGCACGTCGACTAACTAATTACATGTATCAGCAACAACACAGGCCTGAGGTAAGGATGATGCTTCAGAAATGTCTTTGCCTCTCCCCTTGATACAAGAACTAGATTTTGCCCATGCTCTGCTCTCAAAATAGCCCTCCTTTCAGAACTAGATTTTTGCTCAAATTGTATATCATTTTACAAACTCTACTTCATTCTTATTTTGCAGGACACTTTGTTTTTTATTCTGTTATAAGATTATACTTTTTTTTAATGCTGTTAAACAAACTCAACCTTCTTAATGGTTATCAAAGAGGAAAATCTTCACCCTTTTTTTTTTTTTTCCAGGATAATAATATTGAGTTTTGGAGAAAATTTGTAGCTGAGTATTTTGCTCCAAATGCTAAGAAAAAATGGTGTGTCTCAATGTATGGAAGTGGCCGCCAGACAAATGGTGTTTTCCCTCAGGTTTGTTGCCGTAGAAAAGCCATTCATGCTTCAACTTTTGCTAGGAGTGGGCTCTTTTAAATATTTATATTGTTTTCATGATGAATTTATGAAGGAAATATGTTTGTTTATTTGATGATAATTATAAGTTTATAAAGTTTTTATTTTATTATTATTATTTTTTTTTTGTCAATTGTTTATTTGTCTTATCATAACCAGATGTGATTGTTCTTAAAACTGTGTAGGATGTGTGGCATTGTGAAATATGCAACCGTAAGCCCGGGCGTGGATTTGGTATGATTTTTGTTTCCCATACATGATCTAGCAAATTACCTTCTAGGCTTCTATTGTCATACAAGCATCTTGCAGAAATATTTGTGGTTGCATCTATACTCATGCATATCTAGTAGAATTGTAGAAATTTGTTTATCCTCTATGAGACCTTTATGCAAAATAATAAAGCTATTGTGCCGGTTGTTCACAACTTCACATAGTTGCTATATCTATTTTGCTTGTTCTTGAAGTTTATGGTTCTTATGTTTGTATCTAAAATGATCTAGCAAATTACCTTCTAGGCTTCTATTGTCATACAAGCATCTTGCAGAAATATTTGTGGTTGCATCTATACTCATGCATATCTAGTAGAATTGTAGAAATTTGTTTATCCTCTACGAGACCTTTATGCAAAATAATAAAGCTATTGTGCCGGTTGTTCACAACTTCACATAGTTGCTATATCTATTTTGCTTGTTCTTGAAGTTTATGGTTCTTATGTTTGTATCTAAAATGTGCCTTACTGTTGTAACAGAGGCAACTGTTGAGGTCCTGCCTAGACTTTTTAAGATAAAGTATGAAAGTGGTACATTAGAGGAATTACTCTATGTTGATATGCCATGTGAGTATCAGAATTCTTCAGGGCAAATTGTCCTGGACTATGCCAAAGCAATTCAGGAGAGTGTCTTTGAACAACTTCGTGTTGTCCGTGATGGTCAACTACGAATTGTATTCTCATCAGATCTGAAGGTTAGACATGTTCATAGTATTACTTGTGGAGCATTTTATATACTGATGTGCCTTGACATCTATCTCATTGCTTATTCCCTCTCCTCTAGCCCTTTCTCATAAAAGAAGAAACCCACAGCAATTAAGAACAATTGTGCTCTTTTGATGAAATTCACAGATAGTCTCTTGGGAATTTTGTGCTCGACGTCACGAGGAGCTTATCCCTAGAAGATTGTTGATACCTCAGGTTTGCAATGATATTTAGTTTTAGCTTCAACTGATGCATTCATAGATTGATGTTCTGCCCTGGCTTTTATACTTCTGTTTAAATATTCCTGCAAATGGATAGGACTTCTGTCTCATCTGGTCTTTGCACTAACTTTTCTCTTTATATCTTATCATGAAATGCTAGCACTAATGTGCAGTTTTCAAACTAGTTAAGGTACTTCTTTGGTTTCCAATTGAATGATATGTTCTACTTAGGTAAATTGATTGCATTTTATTAAAAACAGAAACTTGTATTCATTTTCACTAGTTATTATTTCAACTACTAGAAGTTAAATGGGTCTTGTTATACTTTTTCTTGGTCTAAATAAATTTGTCAAATGAATCATGCCTTGGCAATGGTTTTTAATGAAACATCCTGTAAGGTTGTAACAGATGTCTATTTGAAATGTGGAAGACCTAAATATGGAATCTGATTGCATTGTTTATAAATTGAAACTTGTATTCAGTTCTTAGTGAATATTAATGCAACTAGAAGTTGAAGGGGTCCTGTTATTACTATTTCCAATGTCTAAATGAATTGGATGAATAGATCATCATACCTAGCCAAAGTTTTTACCTCAAAATCCTGTAAAGTTCTAATAAACATTTTAAAAATTTGGATTACCTAAATATGAAAACTGTTATATCTAAACCTCCATTTTTTCTTCAATTACGTTTGTCCTTGCTTTATTTTCATCTTACCCTTCTTTCCCCACCCCACCCTCACAAAAGATACAAGCCTTGAGATTTCCATTGTCATGTAAGTGTGCCTGTGAGGCTGTGAATTTCGTAAAAATCAATTTAGTGTTACAAGACCCTGTTAAAAGCAATTCATTGTGGAACTTTAATGGTAAGGCTCAAATTGGCTGGTTATGAAATATTGATTGATAGAATAATTTATTCTTGACTCTTTGAGTGTCCAATGCACAACATCATACTGTTTGATTTTGTTTGTTTTTCATTTGTATGATGGGAACTTTCTATTTTCTACCGACAGTTTTTGGGATCTAGATATTATGAGATTATTTATGTTTAGGACCATAAATTTCCTAATAAGAGTTTACTTCTTGGCCATGTAAAGCTTGTTTGTTTAATTTCAAATAGAGCATATAATGATGCTTCCTATTTTCATATTTTGTTATTTTATGATTTTTTGGTGTACAATGCAGGTCAGTCATCTAGGAGCTGCAGCTCAAAAATATCAAGCTGCAACCACCCAAAATGCCTCATCTAACATCTCTGTTCCTGAGTTACAAAATAACTGCAATATGTAAGCTCCAAATTGTCTAAATAATGTAGTATTTCATAGACTTTGCATATTGCTCTCTTCTTTAATTCACTTGCCTTGTAATTTATTCTCAATTGACTTACCTTAATGGTAACCCCTGCCTTATTTACTGGCTCATTACCTTAAATTCATGTAATTTGTCATATGATTAAACACTTTTGTATGGTCTGAGGTGGTGCCACAACTTGTGTAAAACATTGTTGCTCTTGGTTTAGTGAGTTAACCTGTTTCTGTGATGGTGAATTTTGAGGTGCTGTATAAAGTTAAAAGGACCCTCTTTAAAAACAAAGGTAGGTTGCGCAAACTCTGCATGATGCTGAAACCTTTATATGCTTAGCAAGAATCTATGCTTAATGCAAGGTAGAGAATGGGAATCACAGTTCGCCAAGGTATTTAATTCTTGCTTAGGATAACTGTATAAGGAAGTATATCCTTCCCTCCTCATTGTAGCTGACTATATAGCTTGGGTGGCTTTGCTGAGTTCAGCCCTTTCTCTTATCTAGGAAAATGAAAGCCAATGTCTATATAAGTATCTTGTACTTAATGTAATGTATTTTGTATGTCAAAATTTTCTTAGCAGTACGAGTGTGTGTGTGTTAAAATAATTTTGAATTTTTGTCAGGTTTGTTGCCTCAGCTCGTCAATTGGCAAAAGCTTTGGAAGTTCCATTGGTAAATGATTTGGGATATACAAAGAGATATGTACGCTGCCTTCAGGTTTGCTTCTTATTCTACATGTTTAGCTGTTTTGCCTTCAGAGCTTTTGACAATTCTTTTACATTGCTGATATTGTTGAGACACAGTCTAAGTTTTCTGCAATTTTTTCCTCTTTTTTATTATTCACAAATTTCTAGTTGTGTATCTTTTTCCCCCCTCTTTTATCTTTTGCTGGCTGACTCATGCCTCCTACTTTTTTTCTTTCTGTTATACCTTACCTTGAGGCTTGAGCTTAAAGAAATTTGCTGTCAAGGATTTTAGGGATACTTTTGTCTTTTATCAATGGGTAAAGACTTACTCCTAAGATCTCCATCATGAAACTTGGTAGGAGTATTGTAAAAGTTGTAGCCTTGATTCCCAAACTGAATGATTTATGTTGTGTCTAGTTCAATTGTTAATTGAAGATGTTTTTTGTGTTATAATGCTTGTATCTGTATGTGCTATGTTATGTGCAGCAGCAAAGAAAACTTGCTATGTCCTTACATTTTGTTCATGTCACCGATATTGATAGTTAGATGTCTTTCATTGGTGCTTGATAGATATCGGAAGTGGTAAATAGCATGAAAGATTTGATTGACTATAGCAGAGAGACTGGGACAGGACCTATGGGTAAGCTCTGTTTGCCTTACTTTACAACTTATTTATTTGATGGTGTTAAACACTCTTGCATCTGCATGTGAATCTTGAAAGTTGGATAGGAGTGCATATGTTTTTTCCCTGTTATTTGATATTGGTACCTTGATCTGATTTGGTATTCTTCAATGTGAAGGTAAATTTTCATCAGACAGTGCAAAAAGGTGTATATTGTTCTCATGATATTAATACCAGTATGAGTCTAGGCTTATTGTGTGATATAATGAATTTTCATTGAAGTTGAACATAGTCTCATTGTAGTTATAAAAATAGTTGGTTTAGTGATCTACTTGCCCTTGAGCACCTATCAAGTGGCCCTGTACCAGTACCAGTTATAGATCTCTATAGTATCACTACTTTTGCTACCTTGTATTACTTGCAATTAGTGTCCCAAGGCATTTTATCATGCTCTATTTTGTTAACTAGTTACACTATGCATGTGATGCAGGCCCAATGACAATATTGTATTTTTAAATTATTTGCAAAAATAGTTCTGCATTAGATTTGATTAATATATTTGTGTAATCAAGATAATAAGATAGAAAGGAACAAGGTGACAATATGTTGCATATAAGATGTTTTCTGTTAAATTGATTTGGATTTTTTTGTTATTAATATGTAATAAATAATTTTTTAAAATACACATTTTAGGGTTATAGCTCCATATTTATATTGAAAAGCTTGTGTGGTTTGCAATTGTGGGGCTCAATTACTATACTTTTTGAAAAAAAAAATTGAGCTTTGTGTTATCAAATATTGATAGAAATGTGTTCTTTTAAATGATGAGCTATACTATTTTCAAAAAAAAAAAATTAAAAAGAAATGATGAGCTATACTTATATAAATGTTTAGTCTAACATTATTTTTAATATACTTGATACTTGATGGGTCAATTGTGCAACTTCTCTTTACTTCCTCTGTCAATCTGCCCTATTGTGTCCTATAGAAATCAAATGTACAAAATTTGAATTTGTGTTATGAATGGTACAAGATTTTTGGACTGTAAAAGAGTGAAAAAATTAGGGATAAAACTCTCTTCCATGCTTTACATTACTATATGTGTAGACAAGTAAAATATATATGGAGTTTGCATACTGACTTTCTCTGCAGTTGTCTTCCTGAATAGATTAAAGTTCTTCCACTTTGCTTGCAAAATTCCAAAATTCTTGTTAGAATGTTTTGATTTTTGATAGTACTATCCCTTCATTTATGGGAAGCTTTTATATTTATTGCAACAAGTATGACTATCCTGATGGTATTCCATGTCTGACTGCCACTGAGTGGTGTGCATATAATGACAATATGCAGTTTGAGTTTGTGTCTTGAGGGCATATGATACATATGTTCATCCAATATGTTTTTTTTAGATCTGAATTATTTTTCATTATGAAACTGTAGTTGCACTGCTCTTTTGAACAATATCATATATTACTTTTTCTCCTCAGAGAGCTTGGCTAAGTTTCCTCGGAGAACAAATGTTTCATCTGGGACTCACGGTCAATCTCAGCATTCTGAGGATCAGCCACAACAGCAGCAGCAACAACTGCAAAATATGGGCCAAAACTCCAACCATGATACTTCTGTTCAGGCGGCTCAAATGCAACAGCTTTCAGCCAGCAATGGTCTGCCAACTGTTAATAGCTCTTTGAGCCCAACACCTACTCCCTCCTCTAGTAGTAACATTGCTGGACTTATTCACCAAAACTCTATGAACTCTAGGCACCAAAACCCATTGAATAGTGCAAACAGTCCCTATGCTGGAACTGCTGTTCAAATGCCTTCACCAAGTAACTCTAGTAGTATGCCACAGCCCCAAACTAACCCTTCCCCATTCCAATCTTTGACACCATCTTCGTCTAATAATCCACCACAAACTTCACATGGTGGCATATCGTCAGTATCACAAATTAATTCTGCAAGTTCCCCAAATATCTCGCTGCAACAGCCAGCCCTATCAGGTGACATGGATGCTAATGACTCTCAGAGCTCTGTACAGAAAATTATAAATGAAATGTTGATGTCTTCACAACTTGTTGGGGGTGGTATGGTTGGAGCTGGTGCAATTGGGAATGACATGAAAAATGCTAATGGGGTGTTGGGAGCAAACAGTAACTCCGTCCTTAACGGCGGCAGCAATTGCCTGGTAGGAAATGGGACAGTAAATGCTAATGCAGGCATTGGAGGTGTGGGATTCAGGAACATGGGTAATGGTATTGGGCAGGGTGGCATGGTTAGTGGGATTCGAAGTGGATTGGGCAATAACCCAGTGAGTGTGAATGGACGAATGGGCATGACTATGGCACGTGATCAGAGTATGAATCAGCAACAACAAGATTTGGGAAATCATCTGCTCAATGGTCTTGGATCAGTTAATGGGTTCAACAATCTTCAGTTTGATTGGAAGACATCTCCTTAAGAGGAGCATTGTTCCTGAGACTAAAGTCCTTGTCCAAAGTCCAAACCATGCATTCTTCGGAATAGAACATTGAGGAGGAGGTTGCCTGTTGCCACATGCACTGTAAGATTAGCTAATGAAGAGATATTCCTATCTTAGTTCTGGTTTCGTTTGTAATGCTTTGTGAGGAAAAGGAATGAGTATAGTATAGTTTTTGTTGATTGAAATGTTTACCTGAAAGTTGAGTCATTATTCTTCTTCTAACTTCATTTTGCCTGGTTTACCACAGTTGCTTATTTCCCTAGCCAGCCAGCCTTCAGGAGGAAATTTCAGGGCATCGCTTTGATATCTTTCTCATGTACCTTTTTTTTTTTTTTTTTTTTTTTTTTTTTTTTTTTTTTTTTGGGCATTTGTAAACTATAGTAATAGTATTCTGTTGATTTCTCTGCTTACCCTCAACTTCTCTGTTTCTGCCCAAACTGCAGAGCATGTGTATGTATATATTCTTTCTGGATTAATTAATTGGAAGCAAAGTTTTATTGTAGAATTCATTCGCTTCTTATTATAAGACATTATACAATTAATTTTTAACATAATTTAAAACACTAATAATAATGGTAGTAATTTCATATACAAACTCAAATAAACAAACCCACACACTAGACCTGATTCAAATAATAATTTTAGTATCCCGGTGGACCGATACTCTTTTACCTGCTCATTACCATCCTTATTTTGTAATTAGTAGTCATTTTCAAATAAAAATTTCATTGAAACATACACTTAATTCTCAGGTCTACTCTTTTACCTGCGCATTACCATCCTTATTTTGTATGCGTCCTTATTTTGTAATTAGTAGTCATTTTCAAATAAAAATTTCATTGAAACATACATACAGTTAATCCTATTGAGTTACCTAGTACTCGTATTATCCATACTGAGATGCCACAGGAGTTAAAGTAAGTGGATTGAATCATATTCTCTCAGATATTTTCTAATCAAGTGACATACTCTCTCAGATATTTTCTAATCAAGTGACATACCGCGTATTCTAAAAATACCAGTATCTCCGGAATAATATGATGATGATTGGTATTGGCATGGGATCTTAAGGGTACCTACTCAGTTAAGGATGGCTACAAGCGTATGGTAGGAAATTATACTAGTAGTAGTGATGGAGCATTTGATAAATGGCTCGCTTTATGGAGATTACAAATCCTCCAAATGGAAGACATTTTTATGGATAGCTAAGTGACAACCTTCCCACCACAAATAATTTGCTTATAAAGAGGGTGGATGTGGATCCGATTTGTGCTATGTGTGAAATTATGCAAGAGAACACATTGCATACTTTAGTATCGTGTGGTTATGCTAACTCCATATGGGCGCTATCTAACCTTCCACTCCCCAATATTGTGACAAATGTTTTCCATGAGTGGTTTAGTGCAATGTTAAATGTTCTAGAGACTAATGGGGTTATATATGCAGCTGCAATTCTTTATCATATCTGGAGAGTACGAAATGAAGCGGTTTGGGATGCTTGCTTACCTTTGCCCAGAAAAATTGTTGCCAACGCAGTATCCGCCATGCAAGCGTGGAAGGCCGTACACCATGCCACGGCTGCCGGCGATGTAACTGCCGTCGTCTCCACTGCTGGACTGCCGCCAATGCCACTGCCGGACGAGACCGCATCTGTGCCGGAGACCGTCCATGCCGCAGCCCCACGAAAATTTTATATGGATGCCGACTACCACCATGCTACGAACGCGTCCTCGATAGGAGTTGTACTGCTAGAGCCCGATAAAAGATTCGTTGCAGCGTACAATGCCCCCTTACCAGACTGTTTTTCCCCACTTATGGCCGAGGCTTTTGCGTGTAAGGAGGCTTTATCTTGGTTACGGGACCGTGGCGAGCACATCGTTCGACTTTACACGGATTGTCAGACTCTACACTGTCCTCAATAGGACCCCCTCATATCATATATCGACTATGCCGTTGATGCTTGCAAGACTTGCATATCTACTTTTGATTTTTGCTCAGTTAATTTTATTCCTAGATCTCATAATTTATTAGGTCATACCTTAGCTTCTACAATTTCAGAACAGTCTACAGTTTTGTATTGGGACTCACTCCCCCGACTCTATTATGGTTTATCTATAAAATAACCACGTATGATTGCCTTAAAAAAAAAAAAAAAAAAAAAAAAGATTCAGTCGCAAGCAACTGATTTGAAATAATTATGCTTAGATTCGGCCAACAATTAATTTGAAAGTAAAATTTGAATTTGTGTTATGAGTACTTATGAAATTGGTAGCCACTAGCCAGCAATTAAATTGAAAGTAAAATTTGAATTTGTGTTATGAATAGTTATAAATTTGGTATCTATGCATTTAGAATCCAAACTCAATAAATATTAGTTATGTTATTATTTAAATATTCTAGCCAAATAAAAATAAAAGATAAACATTGTAAAATACCTTCTTAACGTAATAATTTATATAGTTATAATAGTACTTTCAATATTTACATACATACATATATTTACATACATACATATATATATATATATATATATATATATATATATATATATATATATATATATATGAGTAAATACCCAAAATGGTCCTTTGACTATAGTTAAATTCACAAATTGGTCCTCAACTTTCAATTTCAACCAATTAAGTCCTTAACTTTGTAATTTTGACACGATTTGGTCCTCTATCTATTTGACCGTTTGTTGACCGTGATCAACGATCTCCAGAAGAACCTTCAGCTCTCGTCGGAGCACGTGGAGGCCTCCAGGATGACGTTGCACCGGTTCGGAAATACGTCATCTTCTTCGCTCTGGTATGAACTCAACTACATTGAATCCAAAGAGATGATGAAGAAAGGCGACCGGATTTGGTAAATTGCTTTTGGCAGTGGATTTGAATGTAACAGTGTGGTCTGGAAATGCAACCGGAACCTTAAAAAACCGATGATGGACCATGAAATTACATATATATCCTCAAAAATCGCAGTCAACAAACGGTCAAATAGACAGGGAACCAAATTGTGTTAAAATTACAAAGTTAAGGACTTAATTGGTTGAAATTGAAAGTCGAAGACCAATTTGTGAATTTAGCTATAGTCGAGGGACATTTTGGATATTTACTCTATATATATATATATATATATATATATATATATATATATATATATATATATATGTATGTATATATATAATGGGTATGAGTATTTCTGTATTTGTTTAGCTGAAAAATATGAATCCGAATCCTCAAGCCGTGTCTGCTACTGGCACCAATTACCAACACAGAAAACAATGGGGGTAATTTCGCAAATAAGATGAACATCAGTGTCGTTTACTTCTTAGTTCTTAGGCGGTGAACATGGGAGATTATTATGCCCTGGTGATGCGCGTGTAAAATAACAAATGCATGCTCATCATTATGCATTCATAATAACATACCTATACAGGGAGAAGAAAGCAACATTTGACCCCGTTTCATTTAGAGGAAAAAGTTTGCAAGTCAAATAAATAGTTTAGTTACTTTTATTTTTCATCATAGATTTGTAGGTATTAATAAGTTTTTAGTTAATTTTATTTTTCATCATAGATTTGTAGGTATTAATAAATTTTTAGTTTTTTTTTTTGAGTTAATTATCGAAATAGTCTCTTGATTATAACGAAATTATCAATTTATATATTAATTATTCTTTGTCTAATTAAGTCTTCAACTTTAAAAATCTTAATAAGTTTGATCATCTGTTTGTTTAGTCGTCAAACGTCTGTTTAATTTGATGGTATTGCTGGAATTTTATGTTGCTTCCTGGATTGCTCGGGGTCAAGTTGGTAATTTTACATTAATCAGTGGACTATTTCAGTAATTAACTCTTCGGTTTAATACGAGAGGATATGATGCTTGTGATGTGAAATTACAGCTATACTCTCGAATTAAACAAATTTTTGACGTTGACCAAACGAATGACTATATTAGTTAAGATTTTCAAATATGATGATTTAATTAGGCAAAAAATAGTCAAGGATCAAATTGCTAATTTTGCAATAGTTAAAAGATTATTTAAGTAATTAACTCATTTTTTTCAAAACATTTCCATTTAGTCTTAGTATTAGTTGTGTCATGCTCATTTTTTGTTCTCAATCAACAAAACGGTAGCATTAAATAAAACGACAATTTTGTATATTCAGTTCTAAGTGTTTTTTTTTTTTTTTTTTTTTTTCTAAAATTATATGTGTCATTCACTTTTAATCTTTTTTTTTTTAGAACATCCTCATTGATCCTCATTGTTAGGGGGGGTTTCGGAGGTCTTGTGGATCTTTATGAAGTAAACTTATGCACTAGATTTAAGATTTGTCATGAAGTAAATTTGTGATTTTTTCAATTGCACTTTTATGGGTTTTGCGGTAGATTTATGTATTGGTAACAAATTTTGCCCTATTATGATATGAATGAATTATGGATTATTTATGCTATTAAAGAAGGATTTTGAGTGGTTAATAACAGTCATTTTTTATGCCATTTAAACATATTTGTTGTCGGATGACCGAAAAATGGACATGCTAGGACCAACGACGATGTTTTGAAAAGAATGATTAAAAGTGAAATTACACATATAAATATAGGACAAAAAAATGAATTAATACTTAGAACTGAATAGATCGAAATACCATTATAACACTATTTAAATGATTTTGTTGGCGAATATAAAAAAATAAGCATACTGTAAAAATACTATGACCAAAGAAATTGACACCTATAAATTTAATAATATATTTTTAATTCATAAGTTATTCTCGAAAGGGTTGTTTTAGTCATATTTGTTAATGTAAATTCAATGAAAAAAAGTCTAATTAACAAGTACGAATTTTTGTTTTGTTTTTGTTTTTATTTTTATTAGACACTTTTTGTAACAAGGAGAAAAAAGATGAAATCAAAAATTTATGCTCATTTGAATTATTTAAAATTTTATTAAATTTTCTTTCAAGTCTAATAACATATTGTTGAACTGAATTCAAATAATAAGTTTGTGACATTTTAGTATGATTTTTTATGGTTTATAAATTATTAAAATTTATCTTATATATATACTTTTAAATGCTTGAAAAAATCGCGTTCGGGAGTGCCTAGGTGATGATTAATCAACGTCTAGGTGCCTGTATATTTTTTATTTTATTTTTTAAAAAAATATTAATTTTTTTAATATTTAAGACTTGATAATTATAAATTATTTAATACTTTAATAGTTAATACTAAATATTAAATATTAACCTAAAAATGTCTAGAATTTGAACAATTTAGGGTTATTTGTTCAAATCGATGTTGTTTTTAGTGAAATAACTCATTTAAAAAAAAAACAATAGCTAATTGATTATGCAACCTAGTCGGTGTGTAAGAGGCTTAGGAGGCACCTAGAAGGTTTATGCGGTGCTTAGGCGAATGCCTAACCGGCTAACCACCTAGTCTACCAATTAAGATGATACGTTAGGCGACCGAACGACGCCAATTTATTGATGCCTAAATGAGATTTTTACTAACATTAATTTTTAAATAGTGAATACAAATTTCTTTAGTCATTAAAAAAATACTTGATTAATAGACGCATTAATAATTGAGAGATTTTTAACATCCGACCAAATATGCCATTTTCCGAGAGGAAAGAATGAAGCAAAATTCAATCTGATGGAATGCAAATTTGACGTCCGCGAGAACCCACACTCATCCTCTCTCTACAACTTTCTCTCTCTAATGGTACAGCGCAGAACCTCATGAACCCCTCCCTGTCTCTCTCTCTCTCTCTCTCTCCCCAACAGTGACTACGACTTTACTGAACTTCAGAGCTTCCATTTAAACTCATAATTTTATTAAATATTATTGTATCCATGTATGCACACAGATGACAGAAATACGTATGTTCCTAGTATCTGTGTTACTAATGTTAAAGGAGAAAAGAAGTGAATGTAGTAGTATGTTTGATTCTTGTCAATTGGTTGAGCTCCGACGCTGTGGTGTTGACTGTTAATCGGCTTTTGGTAAGTTGTATTTGTATTTGCATAGATATAGTGTGTGTGTGTGTGTATGTGTGATATTTTTTCTGTGAATTTTGATGCTGCTGAAGCTGGAACCCTAGTGATTATTGCTGATTAGAGCTCTAGATCGAGTTCTTTTTGTCAATTGTTCCCTCGATCACATTGAGTTGATCTTTTAATTATTTGATAAGGAGTACTTTTTTTAAAAAACCTTTTGAGTGTTAATTAATGACTTTAACTTCACTCATTCTGCAAATTTTCTATTAATTTTTGTGTTTGTTTTCAAGGGTTTTTGTTTTGATTGTGGTGTTTTTTTTTTTTTTTTTTTTTTTTTTTTTTTAGTTTGTATCGAAACAGTTAAGTGAAGTTAGATTTTTGCTCATAAAGTGTTGTGAATCAGATATAGTTTGACAGCTCGAAGCTAGTTTGGTAAAGATTGGAAAGTGTGGCAAAGACTGATGCAGAAACGTTGAAAAGATTGTTATTGTATCAGAAAAAGGGTACTTTAATATGCATGGAGCCAAACCTTAATTTATTTATTTGCCATTTTTCTACTTTCTACTTGAATTATTTGGTGTTATTGAAGCAGCAACTTGTCTTTGTTTCTTTTCTGTCAAAACAGATGCTTTGAAATGTTAAGATTCAGTTCTTAATGTTAATTACTTGCTAAGTTGAAATTGTGGTTTCTACCTGTTCTTGCATGGTGTGTTTAAGTATGTTTTATACTCTGATGCTGGACTTATGCCATTTTAGGAAGATGCTTTATTAAGAATCGTTAGGTGTTATTGCAGCAGCAATGTGTCTTGCTTTCTTTCCTTTCAAAACAGAGACTCTGGAATTTTCAGATTCAGTTCTAAATGTGAATTACTTTCTAAGATGAATGATATTTTGGTTTCTCCATCTGTTGGTGCATGATTTGTTTTATACTGTGATGCCGAGTGTTGGATGCATGCCAATATGCCATTTTGGGAAGATTCTTTATTAAGTGTTTCTACATTGCATTTTCAGTAAGGAAAATGGTACCGCGAGGGGCTTCTAATACACTTGGTAACTCCCAGTCTGTCCCACCTTCACTACTGCGATCGAATTCTGCTATGTTGGGTGGTCAGGGGGGTGCTATGCCATCACAGGGTGGTTTCCCCTCTATGGCATCTCCACGGACACAATTTGGTAACATGAATATGCTTGGGAATGGTCCTAATGTTACATCTCTACTCCATCAGTCTTTTGGAAATGGTGGTCCTAATCCTGGGAATACTCAGAGGGGTCTTATTGACAACGGGGCCGAATCTGATCCACTTTCTAGTGTTGGAAATGGAATGGGATTTAATTCTCCGCCTTCATCATTTGTTTCAGTGTCCATGTCCACAAATTCTAATTCAGCTGCTCAAGTTCAGGGGCAACAATTTACTAATACTTCTGGAAACCAAATGTTGACAGACCAACAAACCCAACAGCTTGATCCCCAGAGCTTCCAGCATAATCAACAGCTGCCACAGTTTTCTACCCCTGACAATTCCCAGACACAGCAGCAGCAATTTCATTCAATGCGAAGTGGATTAGGAGGTGTTGCTTCTGTTAAACTAGAGCCACAGGTTACCAATGATCAAATTCCACAGCTGCAAGCTTCGCAAAACCTGACAACAGTGAAATTGGAACCACAACAGATAGAAAACATTCGAGGTTTGGCCTCACAGGTGTCTACTCAACCTCCCCAGCACTTACAAGCTTTACGGAATCTTGCCACAATGAAACTGGAACCACAACAGCTACAGAACATGAGAGGCCTGACACCTGTCAAAATTGAACCACAGCATTCTGACCCTTCCTTATTTATACAGCAACATCAGCATCAACATCAGCAACAACAGCAGCAGCAGCAATTACTTCAAATGTCTAGGTCCTCCCCTCAAGCTGCTGCCATGGCCCAGCTTTTGCATCAACAGAGACTTATGCAGTTCCAACAGCAACAGCAACAGCAACATCAGCTCTTGAAGGCAATGCCTCAACAAAGAAATCCACTTCAGCCACAATATCAACCACCAAATATGGCTTTAAGATCTCCAGCAAAACCATATTATGAGCCTGGAATGTGTGCACGCCGATTGACTAATTATATGTATCAGCAGCAACACAGACCCGAGGTAAGAATGATGCCTGGGAGAAATCTTAGCCTACATTCTCCCATAAAGTATAAAAGTTTTACTCAAATTCTTCCCTCAAAATATCCCCCATTCCCTTAGCACTAAATACAAGTGAAGCAAATATTTTCATAGGATATTCTGTCTGGTATTTTGAATTATTGTTTTGCATGTCACTCTGTTTTTCTTTGTTAAAAACTTAAATTAGGTTTTGTACAGTGTCTAACAAACTCAACTTTCTTGTTCTTATTTTCCAGGACAATAATATTGAGTTCTGGAGGAAATTTGTAGCCGAGTATTTTGCTCCGAATGCTAAGAAAAAGTGGTGTGTCTCAATGTATGGAAGTGGCCGCCAGACAAATGGAGTTTTTCCTCAGGTTTGTTTCTGCAGAAAACCCATTTGTGGTTCAACTTTGGCAAGGAGTGGCATCTTCTAATGTGCCATATTGTTGCCATGAAGGTCATATGTTGTTTTAGATAATATTGCATGTTATTATGAAGAATATACATACTTTAATGGGTGATAATTACAAATTTATGGTGTGATATATGTCAATTATTTTCTTTCCTTATCCAAACCGTATGCAATTACTATTCTGAAAACTTTGCAGGATGTCTGGCATTGTGAAATATGCAACCGCAAACCTGGGCGTGGGTTTGGTATGTTATTGTTTCCTTTACATGTACAAGCACATAATGGGCACAACCTTCTGTAGTCAGATGCATGTTTTTCCTTAAACATTATCGTTGATATGTAGATCTATAAAATGCCCCCGAAGCATGCATGTGAGGATGCTTGTATACTCTATTCATGCATTTATGCACATTTTCATCTAGTAGGAATTTTTTGTTGTGTTATGAACTTATGATACCTTTACGCATAAAAAGAAAGGCATTGCACCAGTATTTTCATAGTTTCTATGCCTCATTTCATTTGTCCTTGAAGTCTATGATTCTTTCATTGGTATTAGTATCTGAAATGTGCCTCACTGATCTTACAGAGGCAACTGTTGAGGTTTTGCCTAGGCTTTTTAAGATAAAGTATGAAAGTGGTACATTGGAGGAGTTGCTCTATGTTGATATGCCTTGTGAGTATCAGAATTCTTCTGGGCAAATTGTCCTGGACTATGCAAAAGCAATTCAGGAGAGTGTCTTTGAACAACTTCGTGTTGTCCGTGATGGTCAGCTTCGAGTAGTCTTCTCACCAGATCTGAAGGTTACACATGGAGCTTTTCGCTTTACTTATAAATACTTTTACTTATCAAGAACTATTTATATACCAAATGGACCTTGATATCTGTCTTGTTATTTTTTCCTTCCCCTACCTTGAAAAGAGAAGATACCTGCACTAAATAATAACAATCTTGCCTTTTTCGTGAAATTTATAGATTGTCTCTTGGGAGTTCTGTGCTCGCCGTCATGAGGAGCTTATCCCTAGAAGATTGTTGATACCTCAGGTTCAGAATGATGATTAGTTTTTGGCTTCTGTTGATACCTCATCTGGCCTGGGAAATTTTTTGTTTAATTCTTCTCACTGAGTTTTGTGCTTATCTTTTACTCTGTATGTTGCAGTACTAGTACCAATGTGTGGTGTTATTTTATTTTATTTTTATAATTAGTTCTAAATTTTGGAAGACTGCCCTTTCAAACTAGTTAATTCATAGTTTTGAATTGAGTCTCATCTGGTTGGTATTTTTCTCTTTAATTGCTATTTTTCAAGACTATGATTTGAAATTAAGTTAAAATAGTTAAAATCACTTCAGTTTCAAATTGGATGCCATGTTTCTACTCAGGTCAAATTGATTTGCATTTTTCTTAGACGGAAAGTGTATTCATATTCCACTGGTTATTAATGAAGCTAGAATTTAAAAGGGTCCTGTTATTACTCTTCCCAACATCTAATTAAGTAAAAGGTAATCAATCATACCATATTGAAGTTTTTACCTAATAAGCTAAGTTGTACCTAAAATTCAAGTGGGATATACATGCAATTCCATGAACTCCTGGACATCTTAGTGTATGAGTTTGACAGTTCTTGTCTGAAGCTGTGATGAACCTTGAAATTCAGTGCTTCAAATTTGTTAGGTTGGGGAATTGTAAATTCTAAAGCTCTTGGCTGGTTATATACTTATATTGACTAAAACAGATAATAATTTCATGCAAGTCTGATGGACTACAGAATATGTATAATTTTTATTGTGTTCTTTGCAGGTCAGTCAACTTGGAGCTGCGGCTCAAAAATATCAGACTGCCACTCAAAATGCATCATCTAATGTATCTGTTTCTGAGTTACAAAATAATTGCAATCTGTGAGTTCCATATAGTAATAGTACATTATTTCTTGAAATATATTAATATCCCTGTTTTTCCAGTTCATTTGCCTCCAAATAAAATATGTTCCTGGTAGATTTAGCCTATCACTGGCTCCTGCAATATTTATATATACATTACTTCAGTCCCATGTGGTTTATACTGTAAATATTGATGGGAAATTATCGGCCGTATGTTTAATGGTTTGAGGTGGTGCTATACATGGTGTCAAACAGTGTTACATTTCGCTTAGTAGACTATCATGTTTCAGTTGTGAATTTTGAGGTGCTTTATAAACTCAAAAAGGCACTGCATGGTCTTTAAAAATCAAAGGTAGGTTGTGCACCCCCTGCATGGTGCAGCAAAGCTTTACGAGCTTTGAAAGAAGCTATACTTGATAAGGAAATGGTTTTCATACACGCCTGCTGAAGTATTTAATTCTTGACTAGTATAAGGAACTTTATCTTTTCTCCTCATTGAAAGTGACCAACTAGATTTGGAGGCTTCACCAGTCCTCTCTCCTAAAAACGAAATGGAAAAAATGTGTAGAGAATTTGTTAAATGCATGTCTTCATGATACTGAATCTGCTTAACTTGTTATCATGCACCTTTGTTTAGCATATAAGTCTGTCTATTATTTATAACTTCAATTTGTGTCAGGTTTGTTACCTCAGCTCGTCAATTGGCCAAAGCTTTAGAAGTTCCATTGGTAAATGATTTGGGATATACAAAGAGATATGTTCGTTGCCTTCAGGTATTCTCCTTATTCTTACATATTATTTTACACATTATTTTAAGCTTCATTTGCTGCTTGTTATCTTTTCTTGATGTGGCTTGTATCTCCTACTGAAGAGTTGCTATTTTGCTCTCTTATTTTTCATCTCAAGCTCTTTTATATGCTTTACAGAGTAACTTGTGACAATATTTATTGAGGCACTTGTATTTTGTATAATATCCAAGCTTGTCTTGTCTTGTCTTTTGTAAAATATTCAAGATAGAAAAATATTGAGATCTCCCCCAAATATAAACACACATGAACTTGATACTAGTTTATAGGATAACTGGGAGATTTGGGACCCAAACTGAAGAGATCTTGATGTTTTCTCCAATTATATTCTCTGGTGGATGATGCTTTTGGAGTTTTGGTGTCATGATGATTGCTATATCTGTGCACCATTAGATAGACTTTTGTTATTTCCTTCTACTCAGATAATATCAAGCAAGAATGGTAATTATGTCTTTCTTTGGTGCTTAATAGATATCAGAAGTAGTTAACAGCATGAAAGATTTGATTGACTATAGCAGAGAGACCGGAACAGGACCTATGGGTAAGCTATGTTTACACTTCACATTTCTATATTGCATACAGATCTTGAAAATTGAGTGAGGTTGGATGCAATTTTTTCCTGTTGTTTGATGTCTAGTTTGTTATTCTTCAACATTACTGTAAAATTTCATCAATAAGGTGCAACAAGGCTTTACTGTTGTCTTGATTTGTAGCACACAAAGTCTAGGCTTGTGGCATTACATAATGAATTTTAATTGAATGGTGCAGTTTGTTTATATGCAATTACTACTTACTAATAGCTGTTTTAGTAATATATTTGCCTTCAATATACAATTGGGCTCTGCACCAATGGTGGATTTCAGTTGTGTTACAACTTTTGTTACTTGCTATTGCCTTTTAATAATCGCTCCCTGTTAGGCATATTCACATGATCTACGCCTCTACCTTGTTCATTTTCTTGAAATTGTGGCTATTTTTTTTTTTCCTTCTCAGAGAGCTTGGCGAAGTTTCCTCGGAGGACCAATGCATCATCTGGCATTCACAATCAAGGTCAACATTCTGAGGATTGGCAACAACAGCAGCAACAAAGTATGGGTCAGAATTCCAACCATGATTCTTCTGTTCAGGCTGCTCAAATGCAACCTATGTCCAGCAATGTTACATCAAATGTAAACAGCTCTTTAAACTCAGCACCTGCTACCTCCTCCACTAGTAACATTGCTGGACTTCTTCACCAAAATTCCATGAACTCAAGACAACAAAACCCTGTGAACGGTGTTAGTAGTCCATATGCAGGAAATGCAGTTCAGATGTCTTCACCAAGTTCCTCAAGTAGTATGGCACAGCCCCAAACTAACCTTTCTTCATTCCAATCTCCGACAGTTCCCTTGTCTAATAATCCACCACAAACTTCGCATGGTGGTTTATCATCAGGATCACACATTAATTCGGCAGGTTCTCCAAATATTTCAATGCCAGCCCTTTCTGGTGACATGGATGCTAATGACTCTCAGAGCTCGGTACAGAAAATCATAAATGAGATGGTGATGTCTTCACAACTTGGTGGAGGTGGTATGATAGGAGCTGGCACAATTGGGAATGACATGAAAAATGGAAATGCGATGTTGGCAACAAACAATAATTCTGTCCTTAATGGCAGCAATTACCTTGTTGGGAGTGGCACTGTGAATGCAAATACAGGCATTGGAGGTGTGGGATTCAGGAATATGGGCAACGGACGAAGTGGATTGGGCAATAACCCTGTAATAATGAATGGAAGAGTAGGCATGTCAATGGCACGAGACCAGAGTGTGAACCAGCAGCCGCAACAAGATCTGGGAAACCAACTGCTCAATGGTCTTGGTGCAGCCAATGGTTTCAACAATCTTCCATTTGATTGGAAAACTTCTCCTTAAAGGCTGTGTTTCTGATGTGAGTCCAATCACTCCTGCAGGCAGCATAGAAAATTCCGGAGGCCTCATGCACTGTAATATTAGCTTTGAATGAATAGTTGTTGGGTTTTTAAGTGCTGGGGTCCATTGTAATGATTTGCAAGAAAATGAAGAAGAGTATAATATAGCTAGCTAGCTTTCGTGATTGAAATGTTGGCCTGAAAGTAGAGTCCATCATTCTTGTAACTTCATTTTGCCTGTGTTGCTTTTTCCCTGGGACAGGGAAATTCAGGGAATTATGCTGTTGTTACCTACCTACCACCCAAGCTCGCTTGCTCCCTTTCATATCCTCATGTAAATGTAAACTATAGTATGTATACCATTGACTTAATGTCTTTACTCTTTACCCCTTGCCTTGTACTCTTCTTCCGCCATATGTGAGTGTATATAGTCTGGATTTATTGGGAAGGAAAATTTTTATTGCTTTTTGTATTTATTTTTCTTTCCCACAAGCCATTTTCTTCTTCCTTCTGTGTATATTATTTCCTACGTTGGAGGAATAATAATATTCTTGTCTTGGGGGGGTCAAGATGTGTTAAATCTAATTAACAGGAAAATAAGACAAATAATAATTGACACAATTTCTCCAATGTTTTGTGTTTTTAGCTCAATATATAAGTTTACGTGTGTTGTAGTAGCAGAGAATGTAAATGGGGACAATTGCCATCCATGTTCATTAAGTTTTGGATCTCCTCACTCACACAATCTCAAAGGCAGTAAGAAAAATGTTACACTTCAATTCTCTAATGACTTTTTGTATTTTAATTGTAGGTGTTGTATAGTAGCAAAGAATGTAAATAATGGGGATCGGACAATTGTCTTTCATGTACTCAAAGTATACATTGTCCAATTAAATACACAATTGTAGTAGCATGGGGAGGAAAGTGATGGGAATTAGGTAGGGGTGATCACCGAAGGTTCGAACTGAATTGTGCACTATGCTAACCGAACCGGAATATCCGTATGACTCCGGTTTTGGTTCCTAACCGGAACCAAGGTTAAGGTTTGTAATATTCTGGAACCGGAATCGCCGGTTCCGGTTCAGAACCTCCCCAAAGAAAAAAGGCAAAGTGGCACGGAAGTTTGAATGAAAATTATAAATTTGTTATAAATAGGGGTGTAAACAAATCAAATAAAAAAAAATTCAATTCGTGATTCGAATTCGAATATTTCGAATATTTTTTTCGATTTGAATTTTTTTCGAATACGAATACGAATTAGAGTGTATTCGATTCGAATATTTTATGTTATTTAAATATAAATTTTTATTACATTTTATCTTAATTTAATAGAGAATTTTGTACAAAATTAAGTTAGAACACTAATTGAAAAACTCATACCCAACCAATAAAATTAAATTTTTATTACATTCCTATTGAAGAAACATGGACTACCCCGGCTGCTTCAGGGAGCCAGTCTATCCGACAACCTAATCAGAACTCTACGGGTGGTTTTGTTTTTGGAACAACAGCCACACCTCACAATTTTCACATTGGTAACAATTTGGTGGGGTCTATGGTCTGGGACAGGTAAATGTGTCCCAAAGGCCCAGTCCGATGACGCGTAAGGAAGGCGATGTCCTAACTTTTTTGCCCCTCCAAACGTCTCAATGATGATGGTTTCGTGGAATTGTCGGGGTGTTGGGAGCAAGGGAACGATCCGTCATGCCAAAGTTGTCATTGACAACAATAACGTGGAGGCAATTTGTTTCCTTGAAACCAAGATGAGCAAAGCCGACAATCTGCTCAAGGCGTTCAGTAAGTGGGGCTTTAATAATTCTTATATCGTTAATCCGCTTGGTTTTGCAGGTGGTCTCCTTCTTGTTTGGAACAAAAATCTCCTTTAACTTAGAGGTGGTTGGAAGTAACTCCCAAACGATTCATTGCAAAGTCTCGGAGGGAGGAACATCTTTCATGTACCATTCCTTTGCGTATGTGAGACCTAATCTTAGGGCAAAAGAGATTTTTTGGCAAGAATGTAAAACCTTTAGTGAGTCCATAACAGGGCCGTGGATCATCTTTCAATGACATTGCAACTTTAAACGAACACTGGGGAAGTGATCAGGTTAATCTCCATAATCTTAACAGGTTCTGCGAAGCCTTTGAGAGTTGTGGCCTCATGGAGGTGAGTTCCATAGGGCCGTCCTTCACTTGGTGTAGACATATTGGTGGCCAGATGGTTACAAGAAGGAAGCTCGACAGGATCTTCTGGAACATAGAGGCCCATGAGGCTTTCCCGGAAGCTAAAGCCAGAGTCCTTCCTAGAACCCATTCGGACCATCATCCTATTGCTTTTATTAGCAACGCTGGCCTGATCCCGATCCCAGAAAGGAACAATAAACCTTACCGTTTTGAAGCGGCTTGGCTTACCCATGATGAGTACAAAGAGATTTGGAAAAAAGCATGGAATAACAGAGATGGTAGTGTGGTGGAAATACGTATGCACACAGATGACAGAAATACGTATGTTCCTAGTATCTGTGTTACTAATGTTAAAGGAGAAAAGAAGTGAATGTAGTATCTGTGTTACTAATGTTAAAGGAGAAAAGAAGTGAATGTAGTAGTATGTTTGATTCTTGTCAATTGGTTGAGCTCCGACGCTGTGGTGTTAACTGTTAATCGGCTTTTGGTAAGTTGTATTTGTATTTGCATAGATATAGTGTGTGTGTGTGATATTTTTTCTGTGAATTTTGATGCTGCTGAAACTGGAACCCTAGTGATTATTGCTGATTAGAGCTCTAGATCGAGTTCTTTTTGTCAATTGTTCCCTCGATCACATTGAGTTGATCTTTTAATTATTTGATAAGGAGTACTTTTTTTAAAACCTTTTGAGTGTTAATTAATGACTTTAACTTCATTCATTCTGCAAATTTTGTATTAATTTTTTGTGTTTGTTTTCAAGGGTTTTTTTTAGTTTGTATCGAAACAGTTAAGTGAAGTTAGATTTTTGCTTATAAAGTGTTGTGAATCAGATATAGTTTGACAGCTCGAAGCTAGTTTGGTAAAGATTGGAAAGTGTGGCAAAGACTGATGCAGAAACGTTGAAAAGATTGTTATTATATCAGAAAAAGGCTACTTTAATATGCATGGAGCCAAACCTTAATTTATTTATTTGCCATTTTTCTACTTTCTACTTGAATTATTTGGTGTTATTGAAGCAGCAACTTGTCTTTGTTTCTTTTCTGTCAAAACAGATGCTTTGAAATGTTAAGATTCAGTTCTTAATGTTAATTACTTGCTAAGTTGAAATTGTGGTTTCTACCTGTTCTTGCATGGTGTGTTTAAATATGTTTTATACTCTGATGCCATTTTAGGAAGATGCTTTATTAAGAATCGTTAGGTGTTATTGCAGCAGCAATGTGTCTTGCTTTCTTTCCTTTCAAAACAGAGACTCTGGAATTTTCAAATTCAGTTCTAAATGTGAATTCAGCCCATTTAGAACCCAAAAAATTGTCTAAATCAACAATTGAGTCTCTAAACTTAACCCATTTCAAACAATTCTTCTTATTTGAAAGTTTCCAACAAGTTAACAGGGTTCTCCTCCCAAATTAATTATTTTTTTAAAAATAAAATTTTAAAATTAATTATTAAAATAAATAAATAAACAGAATCTGGCCGGAGACGAAGAAACCTAAGAAACTCTTCGTCTCTGGTAGGATTCTGTTTTTTTTTTTTTTTTTTTTTTCTTTTAAATTTAAATTTAAATAATTAATTTTTAAATTTTATTTTTTAAAAAATAATTAATTTGAGAGGATGATCCGTTAAAAACTTACAAATTAAAAGAATTGTTTGAAATTGGTTAGTATAGGGACTCAATTGTTAATTTTTTAGGTTCGGTGGACTAATTGCATTATGATTTTATGAATAATGCGAAATAGAGATAGCAATCAAAACAAACAAATCATTTTTACGAATATATTATGACAATAATAAGAAAAGATAGAATAAAAAAAAAAGCTAGATAGTAAATAGTAAAAACGATTCATTTTACGCAATAGATGTCTTTCACATCTAGTTTTAACCTAAAATTAAGTAATTTCTTCATTTTTAAATGGCTGTTACAACTAAACAAAAATCTAAAAAGGGAAAGAAATGAAAGATAGATCAGATGTTTGGGTGGAAAAATCTGTGTTAAGGAAAAATCTTAATGAAACAAACTGTGTTAATATGAATATAATATTAGTATTTTTTTTTTTTGAAAAATTAGTTTTTTTAAAGAGGCATAAATAAAAAACTGAGCCGGATTCCCCGTACTCGAAAATTCCCCGTCGGACCCCACTCCCTACCCCGCTCCGTTGCCATACTTAATTAAAGAGGAGACATAAAGTTTAGGAGATTTTAGATTTCAAAATTTTTAACAGGATAGGAACAGTGATTTCAAGATTAATAAACTAGCATACGTGATAGGTGATTTAACTAGAGATCAAAGAGCAGCTTCTGTATAATTTACGTAGTTTCATGTTTCATGAATACATACAGCCTTTGAGACATGGATGGGTCTGATCTTATGAAATTTTTTTGTATGCTTATTAAATACTACGGAGTATACAAGTAATTAGTATATAAGTTTCATCATACTATAGATAAAAATAATAATGTTAACAATGTTGATGTATGTGGACGAAAAACTATATAATAAGAAGAATTTTATAATATATTTTAACATGTTTTATAAGAAAATTATAAATGATAAAATTTAAAATCATTGGAAGTTTGTAAGGATGTGTTCAATTTAGAATTTCAATGACTTTTGTAGACTCTTTAAAATAAAAAAGTCAATAAAAGTTTATAAATGTTTTTTTATAAAAGTTTATAAATATTTTTTATATAAACTTTTATAGAACCTTACTAAACGACTATATGAAAGTCAATAAAAATATATTAAAATCTATCATTTTAAAAGTCTAAAGTCATGAATATACCCCCTGAGTTGGAGAACAAAACTTACCAATGATTTAATTATATGATATGATTTTGGATTTAGGTGGGTTGAATCGAAGTATGATCGATATGCAGGGAGGGCTATGAGGATCACTTATCTTCTGTTTCCTTGCGATTGTCGTGCAGTCGCAACAAACTGTGAATCCCCCCGGATCAAAATCCTTGTTGCCTGTTCAATCACCGCCACCACTGCCATTGTCTCCTACTCCTCCCCTGCCTAAATCGCCCACCCCACCTCCACCCCCTTCCCTTACCTCCCATCCCACTCCCCATCGCCCCGTTGGGCCCCGAGAGCCCTATCACCAAAGCAACCCACCTCCACCCCTTCCCCTACCTCCCTTCCCACCTCCATCACCTTCCCCTACTTCCCATCCCACTCCTCATCGCCCCGTTGGGCCTCGAGAGCCCTATCACCAAAGCAACCCTCCTCCACCTCCTTCCCCTACCTCACATCCCACTTCCCATCGCCCCGTTGGGCCCCGAGAGCCCTATCACCAGAGCAACCCACCTCCACCCCCTTCCCCTACCTCTCATCCCACTCCCCATCGCCCCGTTGGGCCCCGAGAGCCCTATCACCAAAGCAACCCACCTCCACCCCTTCCCCTACCTCCCATCCCATTCCCCATCGCCCTGTTGGGCCCTGAGAGCCCTATCACCAAAGCAACCCACCTCCACCCCCTTCCCCTACCTCCCATCCCACTCCCCACCGCCCCGTTGGGCCCTGAGAGCCCTCTCACCAAAGCAACCCACCTCCACCCCCTTCCCCTACCTCTCATCCCACTCCCACCGCCCGTTGGGCCCCGAGAGCCCTATCACCAAAGCAACCCACCTCCACCCCTTCCCCTACCTCTCAACCCACCTCCATCACCTTCCCTTATCTCCCATCCCACTCCCCATCGCCCCGTTGGGCCCCGAGAGCCCTATTACCAAAGCAACCCGCCTCCACCTCCTTCCCCTACCCCCCATCTCACTCCACATCGCCTCGTTGGGCCCCGAGAGCCCTATCACCAAAGCAACTCACCCCCACCCCTTCCCCTGCCTCCCATCCCACTCCCCATCGCCTCGTTGGGCCCTGAGAGCCCTATCACCAAAGAAACCCACCTCCACCCCCTTCCCCTACTTCCCATCCAACTCCCCACCGCCCCGTTGGGCCCTGAGAGCCCTATCACCAAAGCAACCCACCTCCACCCCCTTCCCCTACCTCCCATCCCACTCCCCATTGCCCCGTTGGGCCCCGAGAGCCCTATCACCAAAGCAACCCACCTCCACCCCCTTCCCCTACCTCTCAACCCACCTCCATCACCTTCCCCTACCTCCATCCCACTCCCCATCGCCCCGTTGGGATCCGAGTGAATTTGGGAATGAAATTAGGATTCCTATTTGGAGGCATTGCTGCGCTCTTGCTCGGGGGGTTTGTTGCAGTATTCTTGGTTCTCAGGAGGATACGATTGTTAAAAGCTTCAGAGGTAAGTTTAACAATGCAATGATTTATCCTATGAAGTCAAGTTTGCTTAAATACGGAGATATTATTGAATATGTTTTGTATTACTCCAACCAAAAAATATCTAATCCGTGTTTCTGAGTATTTGCATTTAATTTAAGATATATGGTGTAATATCTTGGGTTGGAGCATATGCTGCCACAAAACCTTTTTTTGGTAGGCGAATTTATAACGTGATCATATAGCGTGTGTTTTTGTAGTTTGAACTTTAATTTGAATGATGGTACATCTGTTAATGAAGTTTGCTGATATATTGTCATCTTTGTGCTTGCATGTGAAGAGTGAGGAAAATCATGTCATCGGAAGAAACTGAAACTGCAAATGCAATATGCCGGTAGGGCGGGTCCTATAGTTTTATAGGCTCGGGGAAAGTGAAAGAAAAGGGCCACAATGAAATATGTAGAATTTACATAAATTTTTATAACTAAATTTTAATAAATGTTATATACGAGTACAGAAATACTAATGTCAACTAAATTGAAATACAGTAAAATTAAAAAAGGGCAAGTTTGACAGCAGACAGTATTTTCTCATGCTTCTTAAATCAGGGTTTAGTAAGAATGCAGTATTTTCCCCTCCTGCAACAACTTAAATTTGTCTTTATTAGATAAAGATATTGTATAATATGTCAATTACAAGTCTTATACTTAGGTTCTGTCATTAAAAAAAAAAAACAAAAAACAAAAAAAAAAAAAACAAAAAAAAAAAAACTAGACACATTTGAAAATTTTTAGATTTGTTTAATCAGATTGAGGTATCAACGGTATAATTTCAATTGGATGTCTACAGTTTAGGCATTAATTGGCTTTTTTAAAATTAGATTTAAATACAAAGTTAATTTGAGACACTACATCATGGATATTTTTAAGCACACAATAATAATAATAATAATAATAATAATAATAATAATAATAATAATAATAATAATAATAATAATAATAATAATAATAATAATAATAATATATCAATTATCCAATTACTCTATCAAATATGCAGTCACAGTCCATAAATATTGCATATATGATTATAAATCTGACAGTTGTATGATACTAAGCAGTAAGAGCATCCTTATCAGTTGAGGTTATTTCTAAGTTATTTGTGGGTCCCAGCATCCACCTCATCCTCTATCATCTCATTCAATTACAAAAAATCCTTCTCCACATCAATTTTGAGTTATTTCTCAGTTTTTTATGCACCCACCATTTAACTCACTATATTTTAATTATTTCTCTTACTTATTGGGACCACAAATATACCATACTTTGCATAAGAAATATTTTTGAAATAACTCCTCCCCACATCAGCTATTAACTTTGAGTGGAGAGAATTCATGTAGAAATAACTCCTAAATAACTACTAGTGTGGATGCTCTAAGAACTTAAGCAGTACAGCACTTTGCAGTTCACAAATCCTAATTCCTAATTACAGTAAATAATTCACAAATCCTAATTCCTAAACCGTATCACAAATCTTAATTCCTGAACTGTATTTACAAATCACAAATCATAAATCATAATTCACAAATCACACATCCTAATTCATTGCATACTAAGCACTTAATTGAATATTACATCCTAATTGCACATTTGCACGAGAAATCAGAATACACAATAGCATATTTGCACATCCTAAGCACAAATTTATAATTAATTGAAATTAGAAAATGACTTTGCAATTAGGGATTAGGCTATGAAAGTGAGTGGGGATTAGGCGAAGGTGGAAGGCCGGGTGGTAAATGCTAATTGAAGGCGGATTTGCAGACAGCCAGATAGGACCCGTGAAATTGATTCTCGTCGATGGTTGTTCAGATTTGAGAAGACCTAGCAATCGGCGATGCTTGGACTCTAGGCGTCGTGGGCGGTGGGTGCGAGAGAGTCTCCTCGTCTTCCTTGACTCCTTCCGGCTTCCCCTCAGAGTTGCAAGACGCCGACCAAAACAATAAAAGAATTATATATATATATATATATATATATATATATATATATATATATATATATATATATATATGGACTATGGGTCCCTAGGTAGAGATGGGCCTTGGGCAAGGGCCCAGCCTGCACTTGCCCAGGGCCGTGCCTGTGTGCCGGGAGAAAATGGTTAAAGTGTTGGAAGAAAGCCAAGAAAGAAACATGTTTACTCGTAATTATCTCTCTAGTTCTAACCAGCTTTGGTTACTAAGTACAAACACATTGTTAAGATTAGAAGACTAACAAATTTGAGTAAAAGAGTTTGATTCTCCTTAAATAAAGTCTCGTGTTTTGTTTGGCTCTCTCATATGAGATTTAACAACAATTCAACGATAAATTAGTTGAAACTTAATGTGACTACGAGATACTAGAAGTTTATAATAAAAGTCCAAAAAAAAAAACATAATACTCCATAGTAACTAATAAGAAAGGAGAAAGTTGTGCCAAATGGCAATATTGGTCAAGTTTCCCGTTGGCCATTAGAACAAAGTAAATCCACTCACTCCTTCATTTTCCCTCACAGGGGCTGAGGCTCCTCTGCAGCCACACCAAGTCATCTAGGCATGCATACTCATTTCTAACTCAAAAACAAAAACAAAAAACAAAAAACAAAAGAAAAAAAAAACCAAAAAAACAAAAAAACAAAAAAACAAAAAAAAAAGAAAGAAGGAAAATGCCTTCCTGCTTTGGAAGAAACTCTAAGTTTGATTGGGAAAGAGTTCTACTGAAGCCATCTTAGTATCAGCAAGAAAGAGCAACAATGATGATTTAGTAGTCCCCTCCTCTCTTTGTGATCCATACAGAACAGGGAACACTGAATATCCTCTGCCATTACCATTACCATTGCCATTCTACTCATCCAATTCGTCTCCAAGATCCAGAAACAGCACCTCTAAAAATTTCTTCCATTTCTTATTATGATGAGGAGATCATAATCACAACTTCTGCACCAAAGTCATATTTCATGCAATGGGGAGTAAGTTGCGAGTCACCTCCAAGCCACCCGCACTATCCTCTTCCCCTTCCACCGACTTCTCCTACTAAAACTTGTCATGAATCAAAATGGAAGAAGGGAAGGCTGTTGGGGAGGGGAACATTCAGGCATGTTTATGCTGGATTCAACAGGTATTTATATATTATATATATCTCAATAATATTATGTATAATATGTTTTAAAAAATTGAAGAAAACAGGTCTTCTAAAGGTATACAGCTTTGTGTGACAGTGAAAATGGGTGATTGTGTGCCATAAAGGAAGTGAGAATCATCTCAGATCATCATACATAAAGGAATATCTCAAGTATTTGAACCAGGAAATCGAGATTCTTAGTCAATTCTCCCATCCAAACATTGTGCAATACTACAGCAGTGAATTGGTAAGATCAAGGGGGAAAATATACTAGTAAATGCCAAAGGTGATATCAAGCTTGCAGACTTTGGCTTGGCAAAACATGTATGCATATTCCCTTCTATTTCTATGAAAACAAGTTATTCCGTAATATATAAGATCATAGCTGCTAAAACCAACTGCCAATAGAAGATTTTACCTTAAGAATTCGTTATCCCATCATCTTCCTTGATGTTATCGCTCAAGGGAAGTCCACACTGGATGGCTCCGGAGGTACTTAACAAATTCAAACTCCTGTTTAAGTGAAAGCAAACATTTTTCATGTTCTCTTTTATATACTGATCTTATTTGCCCAGATTGTGGTGAATGAGAGAGGGTACGGTCTAGCAGTGGATAACTGGATATATGGAGCTTAGGATGTACAATTCTTGAGATGGCAACAGTAAAACCTCCATGGAGTCAATATGAAGGGGTAAATAACTGCCTTTGCCAATAATCATTTATTTGGATATTGAACTAAAGATTAATGTGGTTTGACATGGGGGGAAAAACTGCAGGTAGCTGCAATGTTCAAGCTGGCAACTAGTAAAGACTGTTCAGAAATCCCCATCACCTCTCAGAAGATGCAAAAAGTTTTATTGAACTGTGCCTACAAAGAGGCCCCAGTGTTCGTCCCACTGCCGCTCAATTGCTACACCATCCTTTTGTCTAAGAAATTCATTGACAAAAAGGAAAGAGTTAGAGATTCAATGGAAAGAAATCTAGGTTGGATGTCTAATTTGAACGTTTTCTGGAGCCTAATTGACCAGACAGTGGTGGTTCAGAAGGCAGAAAGAACAAACACAAGCACACTTTGAAACACGCTAGGGTGAAAGAGAGAGAGAGAGGGGAGATCAACCAGTGAGCTATGATTATAATATGTACCCTCAAGAGGGAAAATTCTATCAATCTTGTAAGACGTGTTCATACAAGGACTAGGAACTCTCTTCAAATACATACATCCAGCCAAAATAATTCCTCTCAGAAAAGAACTCTGCTATCACTAATCTTAAAATGTGAAGAGGCATAAGAAAACATAAGGTTCCATCAATCACCATGCTGTGACAATTGACAATGTTCAACCTGCCAAAATCAACAAAGCAAGGTAAAATGATGTTAATGCAGGTGAGAAAAAAGATGAGGGCATCACAGATTCACAGTATGATGAACAACAATTTAACAGTTAAAAAGGCGTTCTAAAATAATAGTAAAAACCTTAGAACGTTCTAAGGCATTCACCAGCAAAAAGAAGCTATTAGCCCAGTTAAGTAGCTAACACCATGGACCATATGCCAGCAAAGCTACGAGTAGTATGCTAGTCAACATGTTCTTGATTAAGAACTTCCGTGTCTCGTAAATTTGATTATGATTGTAAAAATGTACTTTCAGATTCAAAAGCAAAAATCATTTCAGGAACATAGCCAGCCCACCAACATTACAAATCATATTAATGTAAGGTTAGCAACCTAGGAAACTTAGTCCCACCTCAAAAGCAGTATTCCTTCAGATCAGCCTTTGAGTCCCCAAGTTCCATGTCAGCCATACACTCCTCTGCAGTAAGAGGAGGAAGTTGCCTAGTTTTTCGCCTTAGATTATGTTTATGCCAGTCACTCTTGAAGTGTTCTCTAAACTCCTTGGAATCTCCCACAACTGCATTGCATGTACTGCACTTGTTTAGTTTGACTTCTCCTTCTGAACTCCCACTTTTTGCTGGCCTGTGCTGCTTTATCTCTCCCCTGAGATATTCATTTTCAGAAGAGATTGTATGTTTTTGCATTTTTTCCGTCAAACTTGATGATTCATCCTCATGATCATCATACTGATCGACAAAAGTATCGCCTTCTACATGCACATTAACTGCAAGAATTTCCAATCTTCCCTGCAAATTCCTTATCAAGGCATCAAAATCTCGAAAAAGATTTGGTTCCATCTCACAAATCTGCAGCAGAGTTAGAAGGAATGAAGGATGGTCAAATTCAGCATATTATAATAGCTGCAACAATTACAATCCATGATACTATATCCCGCAAGCTATGTCATTAAACAGAAACATGGAGTTAAAGACATACAAGTGATGAGTGCCTTAAGAGCTTGTTGCTCAAAGAGATCCAATAATGTTGGAAAGCTTAAGGGTAAATTAGACTACAAGTAGGCAGCAGAAGCATAGCAAGTTAGGGTATAGAGTGGTTTGTTTTGTAACAAGGGAGCAGCAGAAATGGATTCTCTGCGCAATTTAAGACGTAGAATACAAGTCCTAGATTAAGAAATGAGGAAGGACCATTTGACAGACAGACTAGTTCCTATGATTGCTTGCTAACAACAGCCAAGAGTTAAAAGTTATAGCCTGCATGACTGAAACTAAATGCAAGCTTTATACTAAATGTAGTATAAGGGTTTGTTCAGACATGGATCTGGGACTTACAATAGAAAGTTGGCTTCCAGCTTCATCTCTTGAAATCACACCAACATTCCATTCCTTAAGCTTTTCCAGTATGGAAAAACTTTGTTCTCCTGGTATGGTTAAGCGTAACCTCATTGGGGCCCGTTTAATAGGATAGTGCTTTTGAAGCTCACGGATGACCTCCAGTGCCTGTGGAACATAGAGCCAAAAATTTCTTTTTTAAGAGATTTGGCTCCTAATTATTAGTAAATATATAACTATAGCAATTAGAGAGAAAGATAGATAGATAGAGAGAGCTTTCTACTTGATAAACAAATACAGTGAAAAAGAAAGTTGCAAATCAATATAGTGGGGTAACCTGCCAAAGGAACCATGCAGAATAAAAAGGGGAAAGCCATATTTATTAAAACCTGTTTTTTTGAGCTACTATGTGGATCAACAGCAAAATGGATTTCATGCATTAGGCGTTCTATCATGCTTATGGTATAAGGCCGCTGAGTTTCTGGGTTGACTGTCTTCTGCATGACTATTGTAGCAATATCCCTGAACTGACTTGAAAATTGTGACTCCCTCTCCTTCCCTGCAACTTGTAGCTCTCCTTTTTCCAAAATCTGAGAGAAAGGAAATGATCCTTCATTCAAGAATGCCTTTAAAACCCTACAAACAGGGGGATGGGGTGTTTAGGCAGGAAAAAACAAAAAACTGTTTTATCAGGCACAACCGCACAAATCACTGAAAAAGAATCCTGTTTTAATGTAGAATAAGAAACCAAATTAAATTATAAAAGCATTTTGTCTTCAATAGTTGCGCAATATTTTGCAGTCACACTTTTAAGCTACTTAACTAACTTCCACGAATCAGGTTATTAGCAGAAACTTCCAGGAATTTATTTAACACTGAAGATAAAACTTCCTTCTAACCTCCAAACAAATTTTGGTCTGATCATCTGTCCCGAATGCCGCAAGCAAATCTTTTGACTTGGCGAGAACTCCCTTGGAGACATTGGAATACACAGTATGTGACTGTAAGACTTCGTCAATGTCCTTCTCCCTATTTGAATTTTTTGTAAAAAAAACATTATTCATGATTTTTATTATGTGTATAGATAGATAGAGAGATAGATGGTGGAGAGAAATGAAAGCTTACACGCCGGAGCGCCAAGAGAGGACTTTGTTCTTGTAGCACGCAATCTCGAAACGATTTCCATGCTTTTTCAGACGAACGACGGCGACGTTCGTCAGCCGTTTTTGCCCTATCGGCTGCACCAGCGTCTTCGACATCTCTGCTCTCTCTCAGTCGCCGATTGATCAATGCGTTGCCGTTGTTTTCCTTTCAATTAGTTTTTCTTGTCACTTTTCAAATCACTGGGCTTAATCTATACAAGGTTTTTGGGCAATTAGAGCGCAAATTAGATCGTGCACCGACAGTGCATAAATCAAATTTGTTTAACAACAGGAAACGGCATCTGTTTCCTGTATTTGTATACACTGCAGTTTCGTTTTAACACAATTATAGTTTCATTTTGATATAACTATAATTTCATTTGATATTTATAGACTCAAATATGGGAAAATGTTATTCCGTATTTAATTACATAACTACATGATCATTTTGATATAATTACAGATTTATTGTACAATATACACCCAAATATGTGAAATGATATTCAGTTTCATTTCACCACAACTACAGTATCATTTTGATATAACCGCAATTTCATTTGATAATATAAAAATAATATACGTGAGGCAGTGTCGGTTTAGATATACTGTAGTGTCATTTGGTAATTAATAGAGTTAATTCCAGCAATGGTCCTCCGACTATAGTGATTTTCCAAAATTAGTCCCTGACTTTTAATTTGGACACTTTAGGTCCATTGACATTCAATTTCTTTTCAATTGAGGTCCTTTCGTTAGAATACAGTTCATTAGACTTTAAATGAAGGGGTAAACTCATCCTTTCACATGTCTATGTATTATTCTTCGTATTTCTCCCTTCGTATTTCGCTGTTATACCTTGTAAACATCATAATAATAGAGGAACGCACACACGAGTAGTCAGCAAATGGGGAACGACGAGGAACATTTTAGGGTTTCGACTAAGATTATCTTCATATATATCACGTATAAAATGGAGAAATACTAAGAATAATACATAGGCAGGTGAAATGATGAATTTACCCCTACATTTAAAATTCAATTAACCGTATTCTGACAAAGGACCTCAATTGGAAAGAAATTGAAAGCCAAAGGACCTAAAGTGTCTAAATTAAAAGTCAAGGACTAATTTTGGAAAATCAATATAGTCGGAGGACCATTGCTGGAATTAACTCTAATTAATATATACAAAATGTGCGCTCTAATAAAACTAATGGCGCGCCGTTTCTTTACTTACAGAAACGGCGTCATTTTGAATATAAAATTATGAACGTAGAGCTATAAATATAAAATTCTGTAATTGTAAATATAGAGCTCAATTATTGTGAATATAAAATTAAAAAATTATAAACATAAAATTTTATAATTATGAACATAGAACCGTATCCATCTTACAATGTAGACACATTCTACGCCATAACAATCCCAATACTCATAGATTTAGAACTAGAAGAGTAATGTTTAAAAAAAAAAAAAAAAAGATAGTAGAGTAATCTTGGGCCATCAGAAATTGAAAAGCCCCATCAGTTTTGGAGCCCTTTCTTCTCATGGCCCTTTCTGCCCATTATAAGTCTTTTTATTTTTAGTTTTGCTCCTCCTTCTACCTGGCCATATTTCTGCCTTATTAGCTTGACTATCTTGAGAATCCGGCCAAAGTGCTTGAGAAATGAGAATTTTCAGAAATACCAAGGTATTTTTTTTTTTAAATCATGAATATAGAAAATATATTATTTATATATAATGAATGTAGATCATTTTTTTAGGATAACAAGTAAAAATATATTAATCATCTGAAAACAAGTGTAAAATACATCTTGAAATAAAAGATAACCACATGTGATGATCAGAATGTAAATCCACACCTCTAGCAAGTGTATGAGCTATAACATTCTCTGATCTAGGAACATAGATAACCGACACTGATTCAAAGTGTCCCTTGAGTGAACGACACCTTCTCAGAATGCATCCAACATAAGAACGATCAGGAGAAGAGTTATTCAAAGAATTACAAACCATTTGGCAGTCGGATTTGATAAGTGCACGACACCACAACCTCTTTCGAGCAAAAAGTTCAGAGCCTCCTCAACTGCAAATGCTTCAGCCATATATGGATTGTTCATACTTCGTGAAATGCCTAATTTTGCTGCCAAGAAAGCACCATTAAAAGTTGTGATGGTCATACCAAATGTTGCATAAGAAGAAGTATTGAAAACTACAGCATCAACATGACAAAATACATGATCGTGAGAATCCTCCATAG